AGCCGGGCCCGCTGGAGGAGGAGCCCCCCAGAGCCCGGGCCCCCAGCCCAGCCCCTGGTCCCCTCGGCGCCCCCACCGGCCCCAGGTGCACCCGGAGCGGCCCCGCCTGCGCTCCGCGAGCGCGCCCCCTGGGAGACAAACGGAGAGAAGCGCTCCGACCTGCGCTCCGGAGCATCCAGGGCGGAGAAGCAGGAGAGGCTGTCCTAGGTTAAGAAGAGTTGGGGAATAAAAACAATACAAATGACGTAGCATTTTCAGAACTGTAGAACACATGCATCAGAAACTATTTTCTTTTTCTTTTTGCCACAGGCCACGTGCGCCGGTTCACTGGCGAGAGACAGGAGAGTGAGGGCAAGTGAGAGCACCGCGGGGGAGTGGCCGCCGCTGCGGTCCCCTTTCTTCCGCTCTCCTGGGATTGGGGACACGTGATTTTCAGGCCGCAGGTCTGGGATTCCAATCCTGGCCAGCACCTCAATCACCACCCCACCTGCTGGCTCCGACAAGCCTCTTAACCACTCAAAGCTGAAGTTACTATCGTTTCCAAAAACAGAAAACACTGTGTGGTAGTACTAGAAAGAAAATACGAAACAAAGGTAAATTAGATGTCTAATTTAAAAAAAATAGAAAAGAGAAATACAAGTAAACCTAAGGAAAGTGGAAGGATTTAGTAAGGAGAAAAGAATTAAGAGATAAGAAAACAGAAATGGAATAACCAATAAAATGTTTGAAAAACAATAGAATTGTTGGCTAACCCAATAAACAGAACAATTAAAATACAAAATGATAAGGGGGAACTAACCACACTTGCAGAAAAATATTAAAAGAAGAGGATTACTCTATGCAATAAAATTGAAAACCAAGATGTAATGGATAAGATAAGAAAAAATCATTTACAAAGAAGAAAAAGAAAATCTGAATAGATTAAAAAGGACCAAAGAAATACGTCTTGTCAGCAAGTGACGTCTTCCCAGATCAAAATCTACGAAAGCACAGGGCCCAAGCCGTTGGAGAGGGGAACGCTATTTGCTATTGCTATTGTGTTAAGCACAGAAAAAGAAGAAAACCGTACTGATTCTATTTATAAAGAGGGCATAACACTGATCTCAAACTCTAGTAAAACACATACATCATACACATATAAACCAATCATAAAAATGTTTATGAATATCAATAGGAAAAAAGCCTATTTAAGAGGAACAAAGTATGTAACATGATAAGAATAGCAAAACTATTTCCAGGAAAATAAGAATGGAATTATATTAATAGTATAAAACAAAAATCTATCATCTCCATAAATGTTGAAAAGTGAGTTGATCAATTTCTACATATATTCATAATTTTTTAAATGTTCTTTTCATTTTTTTATCTTTTTTATTTTTTTATTTTTTGAGAGGTTTTTGCTACAGTGCGCTTGCGCTCCCCAGAAAGATAGAGAGAGACAGAGAGACAGAAAGCGAGAAATCACCCCCCAGGGGGGATGGTCACGCTGCAATCCCTTCTCCTCCATTCTCCTCTTGGGATCTTGGGCACGCACGCACACGCGCCCGAAGTGAGTTTAAGCCACCGGGTCCAGGACTCGGATTGCAGTCGACTACGTGGGAGTCCAGCGACATAGCCATTAGGCTAACTGCTGGTCCCCATTGTTCTTTTCATTTTTAATGATTTCAGGCAAACTTTATATATGCTCGAGGATTTTGGGCTATTTCAAGTATATGCCAAGTGGAGAGATTTGCATAATGAATCATATGTACCCATGACTTGGCTTCAGCAGTGAATACACGATCCTGTTTCATCTGCATCCATTCATTCTCCGAATCTCAGACATAATTTTATTTCATCAGTAAAAATTGCAGTATGTATCACTAAAAATCAACGCGTCTTTTAGATGACATAACCACCATAAGATTATTATCATACTTTACAGAGTAACACAAACATTTTAACCTAATTAGATATCCTTTCATTGTTTAAATTTCCTTATGTGTTTTTTTTAATTTTTAAAATGATTTATTTACATTTAATCACAAGTCTTTACAGTGTACATTTCTTTTCCAACACAAATACCATGCATTTCAGTCAAGACAAGGATAGTCCATTATCACCAGCAAAGAGCTTCTCACGTTTTGCCAATTAAGCATACTTTTACCAGTTTTTTCCTTCCCGTGTCCTCTCTCTCCCTTCTATACTGAACTTCTTTCCCCCACATTTTACTGATTAACAAAAGAGCTTAAACTAAAAGTATGGACAAAGCTAGAATCTAGTGGCATGTGCACTGTAAATTTTTTTCTGAAACATTTTTTTTTCTCCATTCCCCTTTACTAAAGAGAGGTATAAATTATTTGAAAAAGAAATTAGGTTAATCTCAATTTGGTCTGTTATTCTCACAAAGTCACATAAGAATTCAATTTCTGATGTAAGGCAACAGATACTATTGCATTATTGAACTTATGCAAATAATCATTCTGTCACAAAATAAGAATGCTCACAAATATTTTCCAATTTCAAAGAGGTCTGGAAGGGAGAAAAGTTATGTTTCAATTTAAAAAAAAATTTTTTTTAACAAATTGCTTAACTTATGAACAACTGAAAAGAAAACAAAAATCCTTAAATCTGGAAGACAAAGCATAGAAGAAAATCAGTAATGTTTTAGAAAAAAGTCATAGAATTCTATTTCACCAGTTCAGTCTCACGTAATCTCCTTTGCTGAATTTGCAGTGCTGCTGTGGTCTGACCTTTCCATTAACATTCAGCTTTATTATGGATACTAGTCCCCACCATTGAGTTGGCCTTTTTCTTGGTCATTATTCTCTTGTTTGTCTTTAGTTTTCCTGGTATAGTACGCCCTTCAGAACTTCTCGAAGAGCTGGTCTGGTGTTGGTAAATTCTTTTAGATTTTGTTTATCTGAGAATGATTTTTATCTTTTCTTCCCATATGAGGGATAATCTTGCTGGATATAGTATTTTTGGTTGAAATTGCTCTTCACTTAACACTTTGAATATATCTTCCCATTCTTTCCTTGCTCGCACTATTTCTGATTAGAGGTCCGATGTCAACCTGATGGGATGGCCTTTGAAAGTAATTTGATGTTTTTCTCTTGCCAATTTTAGTATTTTGTCTTTGTCTGTGGGTTTGGTCAATCTGGCTATGATGTGCCTTAGAGAAGATCTTCTTGGGTTGATTCTATGTGGGGTTCTTTGTATTTTTGGGGTCTGGATATTTGAATGCCTCTCTAGCTTTGGAAAGATTTTTGGCAGAATTTCATGGAATAGATTATCAGTGCCCTGATTAGTTTCTTACCTTCTGGGATACCAATTATCTGGATGTTGGGCATCTAGTAGTATCTAGCATTACTCGTAATATATTCTGTTTTGGGGGATTATTTTCTCAGTCTTTTTGGTGACTTTTTCTAGGTCAGAGGTTCTGTCTTCTACACCTGAGATTCAATCTTCTGCACGATCCAATCTGCTTTTAACACTTTCAAGGGAGGTTTTGATTTCCTGTATTACAACCTTCATCTCTAACAGTTCCATTTGATTCTTTTTTATGGTGTATATTTCCTCTTTCAGATTGTGGAAGAACTTCCTTGCCGGAGGCCTGCTCCAGCCGGGGTGGGTACACAGGAAGGCGACATGAGTGAACAGGAATCAGACTGAGACCTCATGCCCCTTAGCATGTTCTCAGCCGGCTACAGCCAGAGCAAGCTCAAGACTGTAGCCCTAAAGACCAGGAGACATGCGTATTTATTATTGAAGGAGTTTCACAGGAGTAGGATGGGTGAGGAGAAGTAAGTGAAAGATTTTACTCCAAAAGGTAAAACATTCAAAGTATAGGAACAATAATCATAAACATGACATCTGTTTTGTTTAGGTATAAACAGTCATAATTCTTAGAACGAGGAAGTCCATTCGTCTGGTGCATTCTCTCCTTAGATTTTGATTACCGGGAAGGGTCTTTTGGATGAGAGGGCTCCCAGGAATCTTAATAACCTCAGTCCCAGGCCAGCTTGAGAACTTCAGTCCCAGATCGGCTTGAGAACTTGAGCCCCAGGTCAGCTTGAGAACTTCAGCCTCAGGCTAGGGTGGCAACAGATTGCTGGTTACAAGGGCCTAGAAATAAATCCTGTCTGGTTAAGTAAAGACAAGGTTAATATATACTAAAGTGGAATACCTATATTATCACCGGGGTAATCCACAGCTAAGAGGGTGAGTCTAATGTCTACATGGGAAAGGAATGTGGTCTTGTGAGCAGCTTAATGGCTGACCTAAAGGTTACTGTGTACTTGGGACCCTCTACGTGCTGCTCTATACAATGGCTGTGGCTTGGGGAACGGCAGTCTTCCCTTGTCCTGAGAGTAAGGGTGGCTTATGGTTTTTGGGATAACATCACCTCGTGGATGAGTCCCTGAGCCCCTCCCAGCTACTGAGATTGTTTCGCCAATTTAGTAACTTTAACCTAAACCTTCCTAATGCTTATCTATGTAATCTCCAGTAGAAAAAGTAAATGCAACATTCTTTATTGACATTTTCTAGGAGGGTGGGGTGAATCTAATGGGAGTAATTCCTGTTCGCAGCTGCCGCCTTAGTGGATCCACATTCCTTTAGGATTATAGTAAGGCTGGGGGTGCCTTTATGGGGTACTGGGGTATGGCAATAAGACCCATGTCAGAGAAATTGAGTTGCAGACCAGTACAGCAACACAATGGAGGTCCAGAACCTGTAAACTGTTGACCTTGCTAACAGTTCTCCTCAGCCAAGTCCTTGCTCTTAGGCATGAGGGGCAGTTCTTTTATACTCAGCTTGTGTTAACTGCATGGTCCCAACACTTCCTCACCTCCTGGAACTTGTTCTCTCTTTTCTCCTGCATATTCTGGAGTTCGTTTTCTCTCTTCTGTTGCATCTCTATTAGCTTAGTCACTATACGTGCCTAGGATCCCACTGGGGTGGGTCACAGCGTGAGGACACCTCTGGGGGTGCCTCCCTCTCTATCTCTGGGAAGAAAATTGAGCTTCTTTCCTTTAGAGGCCGATTCGGGTTTTGTGGGGCCTGCACGTTCTCTAATGTAGGAGCCCCTCGTTAAGAAAAGAATCCTACAACCGAGTGTCGGCGCTGCACGAAGGTGAGGTCAGAACGGAAGAGAGCGGTTTTATATTCGTTTATTATTTTGTGAGAGAGGTTTTTGCTATAGGGCACATGTGTCCACCAGAAAGACAGAGAGAGACAGAGAGACAGACAG